GATTAAGAAAAACACTTATATTCCACTTGTAGATCACTGTACATGTCAAGTTGAAGCTACTCAAATCAAGTCAAAACTTATTTTAATTTACAGATGTTGCGTTTTGCAGAGTGGGCCCTTATAAATGAACAGATCCAAAAGATTCGGATCCCATAAAGGAGCCGAAAACTGGCTCTGTCTATGTGTAATGAGGCCAGACATTATTTTTAGGCTACACACTAATCGCAGAGGAAAATGACCGAGGCAAGATTTGATTATAATGGATCAAACTGAGAGTGGGAGTGCTTTTACCCTTTGAAAGTGTGCGTAGTGTCATTATTTAACATTTCCAAATATAGTTTTGTGTGCATATCTGGCATTTGTGTTACCTGCTCTGTTTCTGGGCTGATTCTTGTGTTGGTTCAGCGTCACTTAGCGCAAAACGTATATAATTTGATCCAGTTCCAACCATTAACGTCAAAGGTGCACTATGTAACTTTTGGTTTGGGGTCCGTCACCTGCTTGTCTTTAGGAAAATGTCAGTGCTCTGTCTGGAATATTCCACAGTATGACATTAAAAAGCTCTACCTTCCATTTATTCATTTTCAGATGGTTTTAAAACTCAAAAATACCTCAAAAAACAGACGACATTATGACGCATCTGACCTGTCACTTGGTCTGGTTTGGTCTCCTTGAAGATAGAAAGGTTTAATGCCATACTGTGAAACATTCCAGACAAAGTGATAACATCTCCACGGAGTAAACTGTCTGACTGACCTTTTAGCAGAAAAGTAAAAAAACTCACCTCGAAAGGAACCGTTCAGAAGAGCCAAACCCTCATGGCCTTCAAGGAATTCAGTGAAGGCCTAAAAAAATATTGAAAGAATTTTTGTACTACTAATATATTTTTTCAATATTTTTTATTCAGTGAGTAATAAACACTACACTAGTAATAATTTCTAGATAATTGTTATAAACTTGGACTAATATTTCTTGGGAAACAAAGGGTTAATATAATGGAATGGAAATGGACCAATCGCAATTTTTCTTCCAACAGTATCTGGGTAAATCAGTGACTCCTCCTGCAGGCACTGAACTAAAGAAACACCTGCAGGGCCTTCGGTGACTGGAACGAAGGCTTGTCCTATACAAGTCAATGTGGGTATGAGTTTGAGATTGACAGTTGTCTTAGCCAATCATATTTTACTGAGTTATGGGCAGGATCATATCACCACATCTTCCGGGCCTTTGCAAATACCCCCGTGATAGCAAATATAAGCGAGACCGCAGTGTCAGAAAATGAGCTGGACACCTCTATTTGAACGCCTTTGTAGTTGTTGAACAGTAGCTAATGATTATTAAACAAATATATGAAGTAAGTGAAAGTGTGATTCGCTTCATTTAGTTTGAACCATGTCACTTTTGTTTCTGGTTTTGATATTGTCATATTTTAATTTTGGGATTCAGGTATTGTAATTGTACAGTTGTTGAATGTCTTAACAGTGGAGAACGGCTCGAGAAATTTGTTTGCAAACTCCATAAATGCAAAAGGGAATCAGATGTGTGTGACTGCAAAACCTCTGTTCAAACTGTTTCTCTTCCCAACAGAATTGAAAAATAGTGAAAGGTGAAGGCGACGGACAGGTTTGATCCACAGGAAGGACCAAAAAGGAAACCTTTGACGGAGTTTGCAGCGAACATTTTGTATGTGGAGCGCCAGCAAAGCAAAATCCCGATCCCTCACTCAACCTTTGTTACAAATTTAAAAAGTCTATGCCAAAGTGAAAGGCACCAGCTGTTCACCAAGAAACAACTTCCACTGCAAATAGACCAAGACGTGATGTTGCTGTAAAACCACAAGAACAAGAAAGTGCGAGCTCAGCCGGTTTGTCTTCTGCACCTCTCACTTAACAAACAGGATTTTGCTTTGTTGGCGTTTCACATAAAAAATGTTCGCTGCAAACCCGGGATGATTTCTTAGGCAGCCAAAGGGTTCCTTTTTCATCCTTCCTGTGGATCAATACTGCCCATCACCTTTCACTATTTTTCAATTCCGTTGGGAAGGAAAACACGGAGTTCACAAACTTCCGAAGCCCATTTCTCGAGCCGTTTTCCTCTGTTGGGACATCCAACAACCACAAAATTGTGTCTGAATCCCAAACTAAAATTTGACAATATCAGAACCAGAAACAAAAGCAATATGGTTCAAAAGAGTAGAAAAGATCTTCTTTGACGATCGACGCATCCTGCTGGGTAAACAAACATGGCAGTTTGATGCTCACTTTTTTGGAAGATCCTCACCAGTATGCATTGTGCGACGACCGGAAGTCTAAAATTTGGGATGCATGTATTGGTCGTAGTGAAGTCCCAGGGTCCAGGTCCATGGTTCTCCACTGCGTCACACTAACTTCACATCACTTGTCTAGTTTTCATTTAGCTGTTTTACTGTGCAATAAAGTAAAGAACATCTATTTTACCTCAAATAAATTCTAATCAGATACAGGTCCTTTGTCTTTTTGTTACATAAAACTATAACATGAGAACACAAGATTAAATTTTTCCAGGAAACAGCTCTATAAACACATACATATAGATTACATTTGAGCAGAATTACACACTATGAGGGTGCTAGCATGTAAGACAATGCTGCAATGCTACAGTATTTGGGTGCTAGAATAGTGGTATGACTGCGCTCCATGTGGTTGGTATATTTAGCCGCGTTAAGCCCGCTGTAACTTGACACGCGCTCGGACTGTTGGACTGACAGCTGGAATCTCCACCGTCCAAGGACATTTCAAAGACGCTCTCAGGTTCAGACGGATTATTCTCGTCACAATAAATGAAAGGTCGAGACACACCGCGTCAGTATTGTGATTAAAAGAACTGTGTGTAGCCTGTGTGACATTAAGCAGATCTACTTTACTTTTTTTTTTTATTACTGATGGATTTATAGCTCTAAAATAGCTAGAAAAGCAGGCATTCTGACTGTGAGCGGGGTGGCCTCTCCACAGATCTGACCTGTAACTTGGTCTGGTTTGGTCTCCCTGAAGTTAGAAAGCTTTAATCGAACTGTTGCTTCCTCGCATTTACTCGCGGAACACTCGCGAGAAGAGACGCAAAGCAGCAAAGCCAAACTGATGATTCGAGCTCCATGGAGAAAAGAAACTTCAACATTTAATGGGACCTTCCAGCAGAAAAATTAGCCAGTGCACTTTTAATCTGCAGATAGAGACACATCCAAGTTTGTGTCATTCTCAGTTTATGGACAAGCCTCACGTGAAAGCTCAGAACCTCTCACTGAGCTGCAGAGGCTGCACTAGCACTGACTCATGATCAGCTACAGGGGCTGGGGTTTGCGTATTGACCATTCAGATCAGTTCTAATCATGTTCAAAGTAAAATTTCTTGTCAAAATCTTTACAGAATATGTTCAAAATAGCCGGTATGAGCTCAGGGGTACGGCCATGTTTATCAAAAAGAAAATTAGTACAAACATTATGAAATTTTGTAAATCTGTTAAAGGGGTGGAGCTCTGGAACAACTGTACAGAAAACCTAAAAATGTGCACCATTCTCGTCCATTTTCTAAAGAAGTTTAAATGTTTAACTCTGGACAGATACACATACATTATGATACTTAGTTGGTGCTGTAGTACTTTGTTGTACTGTTACTGATTTGTTTCCTCTTTCTGTATTTATGAAGATGAACTGGTGTCAAGCTGATGCTATGACAAAGGCATAAAGAATAAAAAGGCAGAATGATCTCAAGCTTCAGCCTTCACCTTTTCAGTCAGTGTATGTTAAATATGACTGAACATACCTGTGACCGATAAAAAAGATCTGGTATACTATACATTTTTACATATATATAAATAAACATAGCTGACCCACAAGCCGTCACCTTCCAAACAGGAAGTGAACACACATGGGAGTGCTTCCGACTACATCGACTCTGGTTTGAATTCACATTGTATTGAAAAAACATCGTCCCTCTCTCAGTAACTGCTGCTGAAATCCTAGTCAATTTAGTCTTAAAATGTTCATATTAACCCACACTACAAGATCCTGGGGTTTTTATTTCACTATTTTGACTGTAAATCAAAGATATTAAATTAATAACAGACCAATCAGGGACATTCTTTCCCCAACGTTACTCTTTCTAGCATTAGAAACAGGTTTGATTGACAGCGTTGCTAAGCTGTCGCCCCCTGCCAAAACAGTGTGGTGTTACCTTCAACAGCCTCGCTCCTGATTGGCTCTTTAGTTGCTGTGATACTCTCGAACTGATTTTATGTGGTACACGGCGCTGAAAAATCTGTCAAAATGTTTTAGTATAACTTTGGTTAGCTACAAAACCGCACTGCTTGATGGACTGACGGAGCATTATGGCTACCATAGTCAGAAGCCTCGCGGAGTGAAACCCAATTTATGGTCCAACAGAAGCTGACCACATCAAAGGAACAAGCTGTTTTTTTCAGCGCGCTTATAGTTTATTCAAATTACCCATGTGGTTTTAAGTTTCATTTCTGTAAAATGTAAACAAATGTGTGCAAAGCTGCATTAAACACATTATTACTCAATGTGTATTTGAGTTGTCGTCATAGGAAATACAAAAAACAAACTTAATGATCCTCCCACATTCACATTCATAATCCAAATTCACCAAGACAGAGAGGCAACGCCGGGCAATTTACGTCACGATCTGCCAAATCTGCCAATGGATCATTGATTTCTGGGCTAAGGATCAGTCTCAAGTGTCATCCTTTTGTTTCGTTTAATGCACCTTATAATCAGGTGCATTTTATGTATGAAAATAGACGAGAGAATTCAACATTATTGATATTGCACCTTATAATCCGGTGCACCTTATAGTCCGAAAAATACGGTATGTAACTCAACTCAAATTCGCACCTATAACTGCAACCGCTATGGGTCACGTCGCACTCCTGTGGTCCAGTTCTTCTTCTTCTTCCGGTTCCACTTTAACATACATTTTTCTTTTTGTTTGTGTTTTTTGTGGCAGTATTTACGAAGAAGTGACCAACTGCACGTTCCAGATGGCCCTCCTCGTGAACTGCTTCTGGCCCAACCGCGAGGTGGACCGATTCTTCACCGACATCCACCGCGTCTACTTCCACGACTGCGCGCTCACCGGGCGGCTACTGCGCGACCCGCCCGCCAGCATCCTCGCGCCATTCATCGGAGTGCCCGTCCTGATCACGCTGCTCATGACCGCCCTGGTGGTGTGGAGGAGTAAACGCACCGAGGGAGTGTTGTAAAGAATAAAATGGACTCTATGTGTGTTTTCTTTTTCTTTTTTTTTTGTAATACGGTGAATGCATGTAAAGTTAGAATATATTCATAATAATAAATAGTTTGGTAAGAAATGTTTTTTTTTTTAATTACTGTGTATAGTTTTGGAGGAAGTGCGTGCTCCATTGTGTTTTTAAACTGCATACACCTTCAGTCGAATCATTTGCATCATTTCAGCCATGGAATTTCCAATCTCTACTGAATAAAATGTAGTTGTGAGCTTGAAAACTGCCACTACATGACATCACAAGGTGGAACTGAGCATTTTGAGCTTTGGAGATGTAGAGAAACTAATAATAAAAAGTTACTCAAACATGTGTGAATGAAACAAAACATAACTCCAGGTATGTTTTTGAGGAGGTAACAACATTCTAACATGGCTTAAAGCTCAAAAGAGTAAATTTTGTGTAACTCTGTGTGTGAAAAAATAAAAAATTTCAGAAGAAAAGTACAAAAACAGAGGAAATAGCTCATAATCTAAAACTCAGAGCTCAGTCACATGGGAGGAGCTCGGAGTAGAGCCGCTGCTCCTTCACGTCGAGAGGAGCCAGTTGAGGTGGCTCGGGCATCTGTTCCGGATGCCTCCTGGATGCCTTCCTCGGGTGGTGTTCTGGACACGTCCCACTGGGAGGAGGCCGTGGGGAAGACCCAGGACACGCTGGAGGGACTATGTCTCTCGGCTGGACTGAGAACGTGTTGGGATCCCCCCGGAGGAGCTGGAGGAAGTGTGCGTGGAAAGGGAAGTCTGGGAGTCCCTGCTTGGACTGCTGCCTCCGCGACCCGGCCCCGGATAAAGGTCAAAAGATAAGTCATCAATATGGAAAATTCCATCTAAAACTTGGCAATGAGACCATTTATTTCTGACAGATTAAAGATGTGTTGCACTTTTTATACTTCCACAAAGATTCACGTAAAAACCAATAAGCAACAAAAACCAGAAACCCACCTTGTTTATCATAAAGAAAGAAAAAATGTTTCATAATTTAAGTCAAAGTTTTATTAAAAAGACAGTTGAAATTTAAACAAGTAAAAATCTAATAAAATCTAATAAATATATGGTATAAATATATAAAAAGAAAAGAACATGTATATAATAAAAAAATTTTATAAAAAAGATAGACCTGCCCAAACTGAAATCTTATAAGTGCACTGTGTAACTTCTCTGGTGGAGGGTCCGTCACCTGCTTGTTTCTATGGAGACGTCATTCATTGCTCTTGACATTAAACAGCTCTACTTTGCATTGTACCTCTCCAGATTTAACATGGTGGTAACATTCCATAAAACAGACTTTCCAGCAAAAATACCGTTTAAAGATGCAGTAAAAGTCTGACATGTGCCTTTGCCTGAGATGTTTCATAGTAAGTAATTAAACTTGACTATGAAAAACAGGCATTCTGACTGTGAGCGGAGCCGCCTCTCCACAGATCTGACCTGTAACTTGGCCTCACAGCACTATTTTACCGTCACCATGGAATTCAAGCACTTTTAATGTGGACTGAAGCAATGACAAGCAGGTGCTGGACCCTCCCTCCACATAGAAAAGTTACAGTGTGTATCTTGTTGTTAGCCTCTAGGTTCTGTTTTGTTAAATGTCGCCATCTGGTGTTCATTTGGAGAACTGCACTGTGGTGGGATTCTTCAAGAAACTCAGGCGTAGTCAGGATATGTGTTTTTATTTGGTTTATTGTGTCTCCCACAGGGCAAAAAAGTGACAAACGTGCATGAAAAAATATTTACAGTGGTGCAGTGGAAGTTCTTATGTTTAAAGTTAATTTAGAGACAAACAAACAAACAAAAAAGAAACTTTTTGGTAGACTTCTCCTTACATTCTGTCTCTCTCTGTCTCTGTCTCTCTCTCCTCTCTTGTCTCTATCTAACGCCTCTCCTCTCTCCCTCTCCTCTCCTCTCTCTATTCTCCCTTCTCTCCTCTCTCTCTTTCCTCTCTCCTCTCTCTCTGTTCTCACTCCTCTCTTCTTTCCTGTCTCTCTCTCCTCTCTCTCCTTCATTCTCTCCTCTCTTCTCTCTCTCCTCCATTCTTTCCCCCCTCTCTCTCCTCTCTTCTCTTTCCTCTCTTCTTTCTCTCCTCTCCTCTCTCCTTGCTCTCCTCTCTCTCCTCCATTCTCTCTCTCTCCTCTGTTTTCTCTCTCCTCTCCCTCCTCCTCTCTCTCTCCTGTCTCTTTCTCTCTCCCTCCTCTCCTCTCTATCTCCTCTTTTCTATCTCTCCTCTGTCTCTCTCTCTCTCTCCTGTCCTCTCTCTCTATCTCTCCTCTCTACCCTATCTCCTCTCTTCTTTCTCTCTACTCTCCTCTCTCTACTCTTTCTCTCCTCTCTCTGTCTATCTCTTCTCTCTCCTCTCTCTTTCTCCTCTCCTCTCTATCTCTTCTCTCTCCTCCCTTCTATCTCTCCTCGCCTCTCTCTCTTTTCTCTCTCCTCTCTTCTCTTTTCTCCCTCTCCCTCTCTCCTTGCTCTCCTCTCTCCTTGCTCTCCTCTCTCTCTCCACCATTCTTTCCTCCCTCTTTCCTCTCTTTCTCTCTTCGTACGTTACCTCCACTGTATCCAGAACAGTAGTGAGGGCAGAGTTGCAGATCGCACCTGTCGACCCCTATTCGCCCCTCCCACGTGACGTAACATCCACGTGAAACATTATTTACACAATTTCCACTACTAAATGGATCATATTTCGTGTGCCAAAATTTACGCACAAACAAAAACGTTCATACAAACTCATTACGTCAAATACAACAGTTCAAATAAACAGAATTCGAATAACTGCTCATGCAAATCACTCGTGGCTCACGTGACCTCCGGAACCTGCGCAATTGGAGGATTTAAACCGTCGGCGCGGGTGTGTCCGGGTTTGTCAGAACGCACCGCGGGAGGAGGAAGAAGGCGGAAGCGCGAGGGTAAGTACCGTAAATGATCGGTTTTGGCGTGATTTGGATGCGCAAAACTGGCGCTTCTAAGTCGCGGCAGAACACGCTGGAAAGGTTATGAAAAATGAGGTTTAATGTACGTGGTTTGGTAAGAAAGGGTCCGGCGTACGGAGCACTGCAGACAAGGAAATGGGCGCGCGTTCTTAGGGACGGTGTTGCGGATTGTCTGGGTATCAGCTTAACCAGTACATTGCCAGTAATATTTCTTCATTTCTTTATTTCTTAATTTGGATTGTCTTGAGCAATATATAAATTTCTGTTAATTCATGCCATGAAAACAGTCAAAAAAAAGAAAAGAAATCAGTATTTTGGGCACAGTCATCTTGATATCGTATCGTCAAAGTTCTCACAATATCGTGGACCATCACAATATATCGAATCACAAGTCTCTTTGCTTAAATTAAGAGTTATGCTGCTGCAGTAGCTAAAAAAAAAAAAAAAAAGACAGAGGGAACGACATAGACCATGATCCTTTGCTCCATTTCAGTGTAGACTACAAGAAGAAATAACACTTCTAAGCAATTTTAAGGCTTAATTCTCTGGATTAATCTTGGCATTTTAAGAGGAAAAAGTAGAATATTAAGTTTTGTTAGCCTCCACAAAATATCGCAATAAATATTATACCATGAGATGTATATTATGAAAATATTGTGTAAATATTGTAAGAGGTTTGGATATTGTTACATCCCTAATCGTGAGCCTCCCCAACATGTCGTGAGCTTTTCTAAGATATCGCAATAAATATTGAACTGTGCGGTTCATACCGTGACAATATCTTATCATGAGACTTGGATATCGTTCCACCCCTACTGTTCTGTATTATAGAACATCTTACTGTGAGCACAACAGGTAAGCTAAATCTTCTGGTGACAGGTGGGAGCCATGTCCACTTAAAGGTTGTATAGAGGATTTTTCAAGGAACAAGAAATCCAGCGACTGTTTGTCCTTTTTCAAATGTTGCGCATGCGTGAAACCACCCCCCCTCCCCTACAGCTCCTACGTAGAAACGCCTCCTCCCGCCTCCTCCTTTACGCCAGAAACAGGTTTGTTTACAGCCGGTGCTGCACATGACTTGTAAACAACTAACTACAGTGTTGGTTAGGCAAGACGGAGAAGTGAGGAGCGGGGGGAGCGGGTGTGCGGACATTTCGTTCGCGGACGAGAAGTGAGGAGCAGGGGGAAGAGCGGATCGGGCAGCGGGGACAGGAGCAGGAAAGGGGTGCAGAGAAGGTTGCGCGGAGATTCAGTGCGAATGAACTAGCTACAACACGCAGCAGCAAGCGGACTCTTTCTTTGCCTTGAAAATTACGTTTTCAGACATAGGATATCGCTTTCGTGTCCTGAAAAACGTTTGTCTAGCTCTTGGAAATAAAGTACGTTTTCATAATAAGCAGAAGTTTCCTGTCCAGGAGTAATTTGGCGACCAGTGCGTCAGTCTTTAGACCCTGCGTCTGCTTCAGTCGCGCCATCGCTGGAATGAATCTTCAAGAATCACCTTAGTTTGGCTTCGCTGCTTTTCCCCTTGTCTTCTTCTTTCAGCGACCTCAAAAACGGACTTTCTTTTGCGGCTAACTGCTCCTGGATTCTTGTCGCCATTGCAACAAACTTTGTGCGAACTGCGAGGAAGATATAGGTCAAAAAAAAGCCGCTAAGAACTGTTGCGTTGGTGGAGGTAAACAGCGTCTTGCGTCTGTGGACTGCGTGACAGGCGTACGTAAACCACGTACCGGCGGCGCGCAGGCAAGTCAGTTACGCTAGAAACGTAGGGAGATTGATTGACAGCCTGTCAGCTAACAGATAACGAGGCAGTGTCGTTATCTATTGGCAAATGTTTAGCCCCACCACGTCCGGAGTTGATGAATTTTTATTCTCTTTTTTTTGGTCATCATAATTACAAGGCTACTGCACCTCTATAATCTATCATTGACAACTTGAAACAAAAAAAAAATCCTCCATACAACCTTTAAATTCCTTATATTAATAATATGTCACTGTTCTTCTGTAGGATATACTGGTAGTTTACATGGCATGAATTGACATTCATTTATATATTGCTCTAGCCAGTCCAAATTATTTAAAAATGAAAGAAAGAATACTGGCAAAAACTTGTGTTTGTGCATTTTTATGAGCAGAGTTGGGTTGCTAAGGAGGGACCTCATTATAACATAGAGCGTCTACAGCCGCAGCAGCAACAACCAGATCAAGTGGTTAAGGTGCATGCCCACTGCATCTGCCCACTGAGTGGATACGCCCACTACATCTGGATCTGGATCTGTTGTTTTCACAGCAAGATGTTGTGTAATATTTCACTCTAGCTGATTATGCCAAAATGATCCATTGAGTCAGTCCTTATTCTGGTAGCAAATTGTGTGAAATAGATCATTGTACACATTATATAAGACTGTACATGTCTATACAAACTCTACATCCAAGTGTGAAGACACACACAACATTTTGTGCTTGACCATTTTTATTTGTTACAAGACATAGCGATATTGCACCTGTTTATAGGAGTGTCGGAAGCAGCGACCAGATCAAGTCGTTGAGCGTGTTCATGCACTAGTGGTAATGAGCAACGTTTGTTACCTCAAACGCCAGGTCTTTATGGGAACACGTGGGAAATAATATTGCACGATAAAGGTTTAACGCAACAATACAGCTCCGGCAGCTTTGTGTGTTTCTATAGGAAGGACTGGGAGTCAAGAGGGCACGTCCACCATGCTCGCAGATATGACTCCACCTTTACCAGTTAAGATGATCACCAGACAAACCTGAACAACAGACCTCCTCCATCACATTCACTTGGGATTTTTTTTTATTTTTTTTAACTTTAACTTTTACTACTACTAATGAGTACTACTACTAATCCTAATAAGACTACTACTACTACTACTACTACTATTACTACTACTACTACACATCAAGACCTGAATGCCTATGTATCATTGTTTTGGTTTGCAGGCTAACCAGTAAAAGTACTTCACAGTGACAGTTACTTTGGTCTCTGTAGTACACACTTGCATGGACGACAGCAACCTGCAAAACAGAAAGAGACAACCATTTCAGAACAACCATAACCATAAACCATTTCAGCAACAACCATACAAACACAACAACCACAACAACCATCACAACAACCACCACAACCATCCAACATCACAACAACCACAACAACCATCACACAACCATCACAACAACCATCACAACAACCATCACCACCACAACAACCATCACAACAACCATCACAACAACCATCACAACAACCATCAGAACAACCATCAGAACAACCATCACCACAACCATCACAACCATCACAACAACCATCACAACAACCATCACCACAACCATCAGAACAACCATCACCACAACCATCACCACAACCACCACCACAACCATTCAAAATATATATTCTTTCTCTGTCATTGTCCCTTATTTCCACAATATATTTAAAGCCCCATTGTGTAACATTTTAGTCAAAAACATAAACTAAAATAATACAATTTTTGTTTTACTGAGAAAACAAAACTTTAAGGCTTTAATATTCTACAGTATGTCTTACACCATAGACTGTACAAATAAGGACATAGGAAGTGAGCATGACTGTGCTTCTGGTTCCATCGACTGTAGTTCCAAATCACTTTCTACAAAAAAAACGTTGCCCTTCTAACTGCTGCTGGTGTTTTTATTCTACTATTTTGTCCATAAATAAAAAGATTAATAGAAACATAGATCATAGACTTTATATATAAATGGACATATCTAACCCACTAGCTGCCTCATTCCGAATAGGAAGTGTTCATGGGCGCACTTCCGGCTCTATAGACTCTGGCTCCAATTCATTTTCCACTGAAAAATTGTCGCCCCTCTTTCTGTAACTGCTACTGTGAGCCTCGTCATTCTGGTCTTAAAATGCCATCATAACTTCTGTTCTTTTCAAACTATTGTTCAATATATGTTTAAAAATTTAATTAAACTTTTACTATTGACTAAAAAGAAAATAAAGTTTGTATGAAATTGAAATATTGAGTTAATTCAACATACTTTGTCTTTAGGTTAGAACAGATCAGCTTGGCTTGTTCCGGATCCTTTAGCTGCATTTGTTGAAATGTAGAAAATGTTTTTAGCATCTCGATGAATGCTTTTACTGACAGGGTGCGGCGTGCGGGGAGGGTGTCTTGCCTAAAGGAACAGAAGCAGCAGTGAAACATCAGGAGGGGAGATGGAATAGAAGGGGAGGAGAGAGAATCGAACCCACCACTCTTTGTCCTGGTATGGGCAGGAGAGGAACATCTTCTTGTAGATGTCCACAGACTTGGTTCCTATGCGAGGGTGTCTGAAGGCCGATACTGCGCTGTAAAACTGAGTTAAGTTTGTTACTTGTTAATTAAATTTTTTTTTTTTATTTAGCTTTTTACAATTTCAAGACATGTGGACACCAGATATACAAAGCATGATATATGGAGTTTGATAGTTCCTATTTAAAGGTGCATTGTTTAACTTTTACGTTGGAGGGTCCACATAATGCTTGTCTCCATGGAAATGTTATTGCTTTCATTATGTCATTGGGCTGTGGCCCAGGTCGGATGTGCAAGTGTAAGTGCGGAACATAGAACCCTACCCAATCGTGCTTGAGCATGGCACGCTTCTAAAGTCCTAGTGTGAGTGCACCCTTAGATTCAAATCCTCAAAGTATCCACCCTTTGCTTTGTGAACACTGCTGCAAACCCTTGTCCTTCTCTCAATGAGGTTCATGATGAAGTCTCCTGAAATGGTTTTCACTTCACAGAAGTGCCTTCCAAGGGTTAAGAAAGGGTGCAAAGCATTGATAAAAAGCAAAAGGTGGCTATAAAAAACCCCAAAACATATATCTAAGTTTAAGGTACACTTTCCCCATAGGTAAATTTGTCCTCTGCTTTTGACCAATCCTCCAGTGCCACTGGGGCATGTGTCATTCAGAGTTTCTCTAGTGAGAACGTACAATGGAAATAATCATGGAAATAAAGTCGCAACACATACATTTAAAAAGTGTGCCGAACGTTTGACTGGTATTAACCTGCTCTACATGAACCTGGTGTTTTTATTTCACTATTTTGTCCGTAAATATATTTTTATTCCCATTACAGAACTGGGCTGAGTGGAGACATCATGCATTCTTTTGACAATTATTGGCTTTTAAACATGCAGTTGGTCATCTTAGCAATGTCTATGTTTGTCCAACACATTTCCAAGTGAATAGATATCAAAGCCTGTAGAAAGAAATGAAGAGAGTGACGTCACCCATAGCATTGGGCTCCAGTCAAACGAAGTTTATTGAGGCCTGCTTACTTTGCTATAGGGGCACATTTTAGAACCAAATTTTGGAACTGGGAGAAACCCTGGGGAAATTTGTCTGTTATTAATGTTCATTTATTGATTTACGGACAGAATAGTAAAATAAAAACACCGGGATTGTGTATAGTGGGTTAATAAGAACATTTTAAGACCAAAATGACGAGGCTCACAGCAGCAGTTACAGACAGAGGGGTGACAGTTTTTGTTGTTTTTTTTTTTTAATAGAAAGTGAATTTGAGCCAAAGTTGTTGAAGCCAGAAGTGCAACCATGCTCACTTCCTATTTGGGGAGGCCAGCAGGTTAGCTATGTCCACTTATATACACAGTCTATGATAGATGTGCATTAGAGCGCCCTCTGTCAACAGCAATGGGCAGGAACCATTACAATATAACCATATGTTTGTATTGAGACCGATTTTCGAGGTTAAATGAACCAAAGACGTGTGTGTAAAATCCCCAGCACTGACCTCCTGGCACAGATGTGTGAGTGAGGAGTCTCCATACTCCACGTCCATCTCTATGGGGTAACTGAACAGAGCCACACAGCCCCCAGGCCGGAGCACACGATGAACCTCCTCCAGGAAGTGCTCCGGATGGAACCAGTGAGCTGCAGACATGGCTGTGACAAGGTCCACGCTCTCATCGTCCAGCGGGAGGGCATCTGAGGGAGCCAGGCTGTAAATGTGTGATGTTATGTACCAGGAAAGACAGAAGAGAGGTTTTTGGATTGAATTAAATTTTAGTATGTGGCAGTCAAATCCAAATCATCATAATCATCATAATAACAGCTTGTCCTTTAATTATTGTTGTTGTAGTGCAACATTTCATTTAGATTTTCATCATTTCAAAGAGTAAACACACTCCCACGCTCTGTTTGAGCCATTTTATGCAAATCTGAGCCTTGGTCATTTCTCCGTGATTAGTTTGTAGAGTTTGTCTTGTCATATATTTGTCTTTGGTCATATAAATATAGTTTTTTGAACGGATCTTTGTCACGGATGGATCCAAAAGATTCAGGTCTCATAAAAAAGCCAAAAAGTCTCATCACTACTAGGGCTGTTGTGGTTAGGGAATTTCTCCTGTGGTGTGGTATAGCAGCTCAACACCACTGTATGCCGTGATATCGCACCCCCTCCCCCACCCCACTTCCCCTGGAGTTACAATATTTCCAGCGGCTCTGAAAACTCTCTCCGATCATGCACTTAGTCCTGGGTTATCACGGGCACGGGCTGGTAACAGGTGGAATGTTAATGGGTCCGGGCGGGAGCAGGTCTCTAAAAACGGACCTGTGCAGGACTCTGGGTTGGGTCACGTGGGTTAGTTGCAGTAATCGTGGTGGGCTTCTTAGTACCGTGGTGATTCATTTTTGCGGTTATCACGACACCCCTAATCACAACTTCATTCACACTGGTTTCAGTAATCCTCTGTAAAATGTGTCTGAGTCTCAGAGAATTTTGCTGTTTGAATTCACCAGACTGTTGCATCACAGATAGAACTCTTGTTTGTGTAGTCCATAAATTATTCATGCTTTTTATGAATCATCATGTTTCATACCGAAGCATGTCATCTCATGGTGTTCATTACAACTGCATGTGACCATGTTCAAACATGTCCATTGTGAGCAGTAAGATATCAGAATAATAGAAAAACAAACTAAAGTGCAGAGTAGTTTTTGTGTTTGTGTTTAGTAGGAGAGATGTCCTGTCCATGACGGAGCTCTTCTGAGGAGCTCTTGAAGTAACAGTTGGCCACATGTTTGACAAAGACTGATCAGAAACCACAGTAATTGTAGAAAGTCACTTATAATGAAACATGGAGTGTACAGTGGACAAAGATGGTTCACCTGTACGTGACGTTTGGAGGCTGCTGATTGAGTCGCGCATTTTCCAGTTGGGCGGGGCTTATGTCTGTGCCCACCACTCGGGTGAAATGTGGTGCCAGCAGCACTGTGCCCTGTCCTGAACCACAGCCCACATCCACTGCCAGCTCCAGAGGGAAGGGCATCTGGGAGAAAGCACAGAAGTGGATGGAGGATTTAAATATTAGATTTCATAGACTTTTCAAGCTTTCTAAAGGCTGGGATCGTTCTGTGCATTAGCTCCAGTGGGTTTTCAGTGGGAGAGTTAGCATTGTCACAACCAGGACTAAAACCAGGAATTACTGATACTTTTCAGCCGATGTCATCAACATTCCCCGGGGTTGTGACACTAACTGTAGGTACTGCTCTGTTATTCAAGTTAGACTTTATCTCATCTTTATTTTAACATAATCTGACCAGAAAGAGCTGACTTGGTTGGAACTACAACAGGTGATCTGATTTTGCTGTTCTCTCACATAAAAGTACAGTCACAAGTTAGCTGGTGTTAGCCAACAGTTTTTCAGTTCCTCACTCTCACTTAAATAGGACCATGAATACTTGTGTTTGAACTAAGGGACCTGAAAATGTGTTGTTTAAATCCATTTTGTATTTTTTTTTCTTCAGTTTTGAGAAAAAAACTCTTATCTTAAAAATTGTTTGTCTGTGTTTGCTGATGTGTATTGTGTCACCATGGTAACTGCTGAACATTCTGCACATAGAGATGCATGTAAAACAGCCCCAGCGTGATGCCACTGAAAAGTATCAGTAACAATTGTACATTGTTCCCTTGTTCAAACATTAAAAAAACCTTCACTCAGCACTTGATTGTGGTAAGATATGATTGTAGCCACATCTGACCTGGGGTGGACTGATGGAAGTGAGACTGCCAATCTCACACCACACTCACTCACACACACTCACACTCACACTCCACATTCAGACTAGGCAATGTGGATGAAGTGTCTTGACACAACAACACTTTCTGCCACTGTGCCCCACCATTACATCTGATTTTTTTGAGTAGTCCCCCATCCAAGTAGTGACCAGGCCCAGACCTGCTGAGCTTCAATCTGATGAGACTGAGTTTTGACAAGGAGGTTTGGTCACATTGTGTCCTGTCATATAAATGCATATTTAAAGAGCCCGTCTTTAAACGGCTCTTTGATATGAATGGATTCAGAAGAGCCAAAAAGTCCCATCACTACATCACTCACACTGGTGTCAGTAATCCTCATCACCATGATTCATGCTTAAGCATGTCGGACATCACATGGTGTTCATTACAGCGGTGTATTTATAGGATCATGTTCAAACATGTGGGTTGTTCAACAGCATGAGTTTATTTTCCCAGGATATCCCTCTTGTTAACAACCACATCAAGTGAAAAAGGTCGTCTTCAGTTAGCAGGTTGGCTTTTTCAATTCAAACAAACCCATGAAACTCACTCTTTCTTTCACGTAGTTCATAATGGTGTGGACCATCTCATGAGGAACTGGTCTGTACTGGAGGTATGCACAAGCATGCTGTCTGTCCCCGAAAAGACTCACGGTGGCCATCTTGGCACTGTCCAGTCCTCCTGCCAGAGGAACAAGCATTAAGAGATTATCAGCAAGCGACGAGCGTCCTACCCTGTGACGAGCGTCCTACCCTGTGACGAGCGTCTTACCCTGTGACGAGCGTCTACCCTGTGACGAGCGTCCTACCCTGTGACGAGCGTCCTACCCTGTGACGAGCGTCCTACCCTGTGACGAGCGTCTTACCCTGTGACGAGCGTACCCTGTGACGACCCTGTGACGAGCGTCCTACCCTGTGACGAGCGTCCGAACCTGTGACGACCTGTGTCCGAACCTGTGACGAGCGTCCGAACCCTGTGACGAGCGTCCGAACCTGTGACGAGCGTCCGAACCCTGTGACGAGCGTCCTACCCTGTGACGAGCGTCCTACCCTGTGACGAGCGTCTTACCCTGTGACGAGTGTCTTACCCTGTGACGAGTGTCCTAACCTGTGACGAGCGTCCTAACCTGTGACGAGCGTCCGAACCCTGTGACGAGCGTCTTACCCTGTGACGAGCGTCCGAACCTGTGACGAGCGTCCGAACCTGTGACGAGCGTCCTAACCTGTGACGAGCGTCCTAACCTGTGACGAGCGTCCTAACCTGTGACGAGTGTCCTAACCTGGCTCACAGTAGAATGACACTTTATATGTGTGTCACTCTGAACTGAGTTCTACACATTATTAATCTGCAACGGCTCTGACTGAGAGAGATTGGAAAATGCAGAGCGTCATGATGAATATTGGAATCTGGTTTGTCACATAAACTGATTCCCCCTGCATGTTTTTCACAAATGAAATAGTCTATTGATGCAAAATAGACTGAAGTCCAACTGTTTGCATCTTTGCACCACCATGTTTGTTTTAGTTTGGGCACTTTTGGCTTCCACACAAACCTCAATGCTGCGATGTGATTGGTCCACCCGCTACACCGCAAAAACTAAAATCTAGCCAAGTTAAGATGAGTTAATTTCACTCGACAAGAATTAAATTATCTGCCAGTGGAACAAGACTTTTTTTACTTAAAATATAAAAATTCAACTTGCTACACTTAAAATAAGAAAAACAACATTTTGCACTTAAAATAAGAAACTAAATCGAATGTTTCTTGAATTAAGAAAAACACAATTATTCCATTGGTGGATAATTTGACTTGTCAAGTAGAATCTACTCAAATAAAGTCAAATGTTCTTAATATAACTTTTAAAAAACTTATCTAGATAGTGTATTTGCGACGTTATTTGGTTTACTAACATATAAAATTAATATAAAAATGAAATTACCTCTTTTATGATGTGAAAGTGCCTCAGGAGCAAGCAACCCAAATGACTTTCCAAAAACAATAAACGTATTAAGAATAAACCTCTAGGCTCTAGGTGATAGTAAGTGTACTGGGAACAGGCACAAGCCACGCCCCCTCTCCCTCAGGAGGTTAAACCTGTGTGCTCTTCTACAGACATTAAATGCAGGTTTTCAGACTAATGAAACAACATATATTACCTAAGATTAAATACCATATTTTCTGGGCTATTAGGCACTCTGGATTATAAGGTGCACTGTCATTAAATGGTCTATTTTCAAACTTTTTTTCACAAATAAACCGTACTGGACTTTAAATGAAACACAACAGTGTGGATGGGTCAGTTGGACTTTGTTTGGTGCGTTCACGGTGACTCTGGGCTTTGTTCAGTTGTGGCGTGTAGGGAGGGTGCTGTCTGGGACACGCTGGATTGTCGGCGTGTTCGCGGTGACTCAGTTGTGTCTAGAAGCGGCACATTGCACTCGCTTTTTCGGTTTGTTCCGCCGTTCCGTTCCTCGTCGGCGTGGAGTGATGAGTGTGTGTGTCTGTGGGTGTGTTTCGCTGCTCGGTCGCTGTCTGCTCCGTGTGTGTTTGCATGCGGTGTGGATGGTGCGGGTTTGTAGTTTACTGAAGTCACCCGAGTGGATTCGTGTATAGAGCGCTCTGGATTGTGGGGCGCGCAGTCATTTTTCGAGGTGGTTAGAGGCTTAAGAGCGCGCCTAATAGCTTGGAAAATACGGTAGTTATCATACTTTTACAGTGGCAGGTTGTGGGGAAAAAAATCAAGAAGAGCATAAAAATACAGCGAGATCGGAGTTTTAAAACGGAATATGTTAACGTACTGTATGCATCATCTGCTGTCTGCGTAAACCCAGACAGTAAAACTATAAACTTGCCAAACTACCAAAAAATTATTTGGTAAAATCTGAAATATTGTTACTTTGAAGAGGGGGTACTGTCAGCTTCTCCTGGAGGCAGCCTAAACAGAAGATCTTAAGAAAGAGACTTGCAGAGTTAGAAAAGTCTCTTTATTTGAGTCAGGCAGATACAGGTCTCAAGATTCAAGTTGATTCAGTATGATTTTGCCTACGCGGCGTCTCTCAGTGCGTCGGTCGTCCCTCGACAACGCGGTCGGCGTTCCCCCACTGATGCACAGAAAAACTGGATGCCTTTTATACCAGCATAACTGTTGAGTTAACATCTTCATGGAAAAATACACAGCAGTTTTGTCCCAACACGTGTCCCATAACAGACTGGCAGATGCTAAAGGTTGGAGACACACCCCTTATCTGTCCCATATACATTCACCATTGACATCATATCCCAACCCCATTGACACTCCAAAGTCCAAAAACATACACAGCGTGTCAAGGAACACAGAGATTAATTACAGGGCATATTAACATATGAATGAAACTTTAAAAACACAGGGTAGAAACCCACAGTACTATGCAAAATACATTTTTGGAGCTTTCTACCATGTTATAACATTCCATCATCAGAAACATGCATGGAGAGGTTTTAAATGTCATCCATGTGTGTTTGGCCCCATCCACACTAGGGATGGCTTTCAATTAAATTTTCTTAATCGATCGTCGGGAGAATTAACGATCTATTGTTGATTATAATCATTAACGTTTTTATATTAAAATGATCATTATTATTACTATCTGCACTACTAATCTGCATAAATAAATTCAGTTTTACTACATATAAACCGTAACCACTCTAGAGCCACATCAGCCCGTTTGACATTATAATGTGTTGCGCAACTCTCACAGAAACAAAACTTAAAACTGCATGGCTAATTTGCATAAACTAAGAGAAGGAAAAACAGCTCTTGTGCGCTGAAGCGGTTCAACTTCTGTCGGATTAAAAGACATGACTCAGTGGAATACAGGTTAGTGTGACCATATTTGCATTTGTCAAAACCAGGACACCGTACGGGGGGTGGGAGGTGGGGCCTCGTCATCGACATTGCGCTACTCTCACCTGGCAAAACTTTTTAATGTTTTTCTGTGAGCTTTGAGGTCCCTGGCACCGCCACTGGACACCGAAACATATGTGCCTGTTTTGTACACTGTGCACATGGCCTCCCACTTCTCTCGACGGGGACGGAAAACGGGGAATTTCTTGTACAAGTCATCGTTAAATGCGCATTTGCGCTTTGGCATGTTGCAGGCTGACCGACTGTTTGTGTCTGCTCGCTCCTTCTGAATGCACAGAGAGCTACAAGAGATGCTCAGTTTAATGGCCCAGTGAAAGGTAATGAAAACCCGGACATTTGCATCCCTTTGTTAAAAAAAAACAAAAACCCAGACAACCAGGACAGGACATGGAAAAACTGACATTTGGTCACCCTACGCTACACACAGCAACCTACATTCGGTTTGTCGATTAAAAATGAACGTAATTGACAAAATTCTTAATGATCAATTATCAATTAGTCGACTGATCATGCCCATTCCTAGTCCACACTAGTATGTATTAGTGTCGTTTTCGTTGCAGATGGAGTGTTCGTTCACACTAATCCGATTGAAAACGGCTCCAGAGATGGAACGATTTGGTGCCGCCAGCTCCCACGAATTCATTTGAATACAGATCTGATCCGGCACTGTGTGGACACCTGAAAACACTGATACTCTGTAGGTCTATGCACCACAAAGTAATTCGCCGCCAAAACGCTAAGAGGCTAGAATATATGTCCAATCATATATACCGTCTGTGTGTACGACCTACAGACCAATAATCTCTGAAAAGTTTCACATGAACCATCTCCAATGCAACAGAAACACAGAACAGACTCACCATCAGCAGAACACCCCTCTGTCACAGACAGAACACTCATATTCCAGTCCTTTAGTCCGACAGAAGCTGAACCGCATCAGTGCACAATATCGAGCTGTTTTTTGAGCGCACAGTTTATGCAAATTACCCATGTGGTTTTAAGTTTTGTTTCTGTAAAACGTAAACAAATATGCTCAAAGCTGCGTGGATAGGGAAGGCTTGCGGACACAAACGACATGTGTGGACACAGATCGTTTCCGATACGGTGATACGTGGATTCGTTTCAGTGTAAACGGGGTCTTTAAGTAATTTAGCGATCTCTACATGTGGAATGTTCAGCAGTTACCATGGAAATACACACAGTATGAGTATCAATAAATGAAAGATAATTTATACTATTATGCTATACTATTTGTACTATGGGACATTCTTGACAAGCGACTGACTTGTCTAGAAAAAGTTACACAGTGCGTCTTTAAATAAAATTCTGTGCGGCAGTGAATTACATGGGAAATGATTGTAACATCAGCTTTTATTACATCTAGAGAATTATTTTTCAGTTATTACATACACATCATATTAAGATTTTAATATAGTTTAGTGTTTTCATATTAACTCGATAAAGGAATGTTTGATTTCAGAGCACCAGTCTAGTTCTTCGTGTTCCACAATCAGAACCAGACGGGCCCACGCAAATATCAAGGTTTGCATCCGACCCAGTAGAAATACTTTGTAACCAAGGTAACTTCAGTTTCAGGAGAGGATACTTGCAAAACATCCAGTAACCTACAAAAAAAGAGAAAGAGAAACACAATGGATCATATGTTAAGAGTTTGTACAGACAGTCATTGCAACTTGTAATGAATCCAGTTTTCATTTTTCCCAATTGTGACCCCTGGTGGTGGGAGTTGGTATTTTTTGAATTGTCAAGTAATCTTTTCATATGAACTTTTTTTAAAGATCCTAATATGATGCAAAATTGGACTCTTTAAGCCATTTTATAATGTTGTTACCTCCTCAAAAACAGACCTGGACTTGTTTTCTTTCATTCACTTTTGAGTAATCCTGCATTATTAGGCTCTGTTTATATGATGACGATCTGAACAGAAGACACAAAAGTGGCGTTGTGTCTTCACTTTTTATTCCATATTTAGACGAGTGTTTTCGGGAGGAAATCTGTGTGCATACGGTGACGCAAAAGTGTGTGGAATTCGATTGTGTATACATGCCAGGCAGCTCGGTGGTGACACTAGGTGGTGATGTATGTGACATAAACACGTACACGATGTGAGCAGATCTGACCAGAGTTTTGCATCTTGGGCAGTGTAGACAGAAACTCTACGGCGAAGTGTATTCAACTTTTCCTCTCTGGAGGGTGGTTTTAGATTTTTGCGTTTTTAAGCCCCAAAAACACTGTCACTGACTAAACGAAAGGCACTTCTGATAAAATATTGTTATTTTTACCCCCAAGCGAGCTCGTGTAAACAGGCCCTTAGTCAGTCTACATCTCCAAAGCTCAAAATGAAACTGATCCACCTTGTGATGTCACGAAGAGGTAGTATTCAAGTTAACAGCTCCTTTTACCTTTAGCAGAGATCGGCAATTCCAGGGCTAAAATTACCCAAGTGATTCTAATGAAAGTGCATGGAGTTTAAAAGCAAATTGACGCACTTTTGTATTACCACATGATATCACAAGATGGAACAGTGTTTTCGATTTGAGAGAAGGACTCGGCCTAAATATGCAGGGTTTGTGTGCTCCAGGTAGGGTTGGGTGGTAATACAGTATTACGGTATAACGTGGTATCAAAAAGTAGCAACGGTGTCATTTAAAAAATCTGCAGTGCATAAGGAATAAAATATAATTTATTGATGCCTAAATTTGTTTGCTCAGCATGAATGAATGTGTGGTTGTATTTTCAGTATAATGCTATCATGATGTAAAACTAATAGTGTCTATAATGTTTCTTTTAACTGCGTGGAGAGATGACGTTCGATTAGTTTTCGTTCCGTTGTACACACGCTGACGCGTTGTGTAGTCACAGGTCAGCAGAAGTTCACTGTCTGAATGCATGTTTTATACACCTGAAATCCAGTAAATGCAAGATATGTTGTTTAAAGCCATACAGTGTAACATCTCCTTGGATCTCTCAACAGGAAAGTTACACATGAAGCTTTAAATAATCAAGAACAGAAGCCTGACAAAGCTTTAGAAAGAAAAACAGAAAGGACACTTGTTTTGTGTCCTGGGTGTAAAGTTGACACGTTAACTCAGTCCTTCAGTGTAATAACTTACCTTTTGCGTACACGATTGCACATTTCTTGGGCTTCTTGGGGATTATCTTCTTTGCATTTCCGATACGGACTGAAAGTTTCCACCAAGTTGATGTAGCCATTCACAGTGGTGGCTCTCCTCACCTCCAGACCCTCGTGCCTGTATACATAAAGTACTTTCACATATGAGAGTGTGTTTTTATGAATCGTGGACAAACGTAAGGATGGATAGACGCGTACCATTCTTTGTCCGGATGGGGCCAGAGGTTGAACATGTCTTTGTAAATCTGCATAGAACTGGTGCCAAGATGGGGGTTTCGATATGGGTGCAAATCGGTGTAAAGCTGAGAAATAAATACAGAAAGTATTAGTGGTGTAATGGTACACAAAAGTCACGGTTTGGTGCATACCTTGGTTTTAAGGCCATGGTTCTGTTAATTTTCAGTACAGTATGGGCACAAAATACAAAACCATTTGCTTGTTGTTTATTTGTGTGTTTATTAAACCAACAATTTGTTTGAATATTATACAAGCGGTCCCAGTATGAAGTTTTACTCAATCTTCATATTTTTGGTCAGAAAAAAAAACCAACTTGTCCACATTGTCTGTAGTAAGTGCAGATTTGCTGCAGTTACAATGTCTCCAGCGGTTGGGAGGGAGGGGGCAAAAATGAGGAAAGGGGTGCAATTACTGTAGTTTTGTGAGGATTTACGTGGTTTGGGGGACGTATTTAAGGCCGGGGGCAGTTGTTGCAAAGGCGGCCATCCTAACTATAAAGCGCTGCGGGAAACAATGTCCCAATCATGCACAAGTTCCCTCGTGAATATTAAAGAGCAGAGCCTCTGTGTAGCTGCACATGTAGTGGTGGACAAAAACACAGCCCTGCACCAAACCAAATGTCCCGTACCAAAAGGGTTTGGCATGAATATATGTACATATGTTACACCCCTAGAAATGATGTTTCTGTTCTGGGCATGTCCCACCAGAAGGAGGCCCTGGGGAAGACTCAGGACACGCTGGAGGGTCGATGTCTCTGGGCTGAGAACGCCTCAAGGTCCTCTGGGAGGAACTGGAGGAAGTGTCTGGGGAGAGGGAAGTCTGGGAGTCCCTGCTTAGACACACGACCCTGCCCCGGATAAGTGGAAGAAAATGAATGGATAACAAGAAAGTTCAATGTAACAATAGTTTTCTGGCACATTTTGTTATTTGAGGTAGCTTATTGGATTAGAAATACTTTATTATACCGAATTAAATGAATTATTAATAAAGTATCAGAAGCTCAGTCACACTGGAGGAGCTTGGAGTAGAGCCGCTACTCCTCCACAACAGGTGTTCCGGGCGTGTCATAGCACAATATACACAATAGCACAATATGTCTTCTTTAATGGTTTATGGATTAGCTTCAGTTTCAGTTCAATAATTTACTGCTCCAAATGTGAGCCAGCCTTTGACTAAGACTGGCTGCATGATAGATGGCTACAGTATAGTTCAGTTTTCAGATATCTGTTGTGTAAAGTAATCCTCACCATGTGGATTACTTTACTGGTTAAAGCTCTCACCTCCATGCAGACTTGTCTGAGTTTGTCGGTAAAGTCTCCAAGTTCCAGATACATGTCCAGGCCGTAGGAGAGCAGAGCCACACAGCCCCCGCCCCTCAGCACACGTCCCACCTCCTGCAGGAAGCGTGGCCGGTCGAACCAATGAGCAGCCGTCATGGAGGTCACCAGGTCCACTGAGCCGCTCTCAAAGGGGAGTTCCTCTGCTGGACACTGCCTGCCATATTGTAAAATCTGTTAAAATCAGTCCTGTATTACACAAAATAGACTCTTGTGAGCTGAAGCCACGTTATAATATTGCTGCTTCATCAAAAACAGACCCGGAATTGAGTTTTGTTTGAACAAACCGTTAGTATTAATCTGCAGAGCTGCAGTGCAGACAGACATGCGCGCTGTGTTCCTCATTTCGTTAAGCTCCCATTACACAGCAGACCAGTGTCTATCTCATGCTCTCCCCATCCCACAGCAGTCCGCTCCTGCGTCTTTCACCTGAGGTATGAGTTTCCACCGCTGCTACCGCTGACCGCTCACATTCTTGTCTTACAGGTGTTCATTTGGTCCCACACAGGTGGATGTCTCGAGGATTATGGAATACATTTATTGTCATATAAATGTTTCTGATGTTACCGCTTTGAGACATGGTTTAAACCAATAACACACAAGTTGGGGGACTGCACCACCTGCATTTGTCCCGCACAAGTGACTGATATGCACCATGAGCACAGAGCAGGATGTGCAGGTCTGTACAGCGCAGTGCTCATGTGCATCATACATCTCTAAGCCACTGTACAAAGCTCTACTGACCACTGCTGCCAAGAGAGCAGCACGTACAAAACATGCATCTGCTCCACTGTCACAGCCCCGAGCAGTGAATGCACGCGCTGATCTTTGTCAGAGTTCAGCTGTGAGAATGTGAGGAAATCGACATTGCAGCATTAAAACCACAGACAGGGTAAGAAAACAGACTTTAGGACATTGCTGTAAACGGCTTCATGTGAATGAGCAGCTTTTGGTGGAACTTTGTTCACAAGGTGGAACAAAGTGTTTTCAGTTTGAGACAAGAATTCTGCCTAAATCTGCAGGGTTTGTGTGTTAAACATGTGTGAATGAAACAAAACACATCTCCAGGTCTGTTTGTGATGAGGAAACAACATTATGACATAGATCAGATAATAATAGTAATATGGGCTTTTTAGTATCTAGAACGATATAAAAGTTGTGTACTTGTATGTAACGTTGTCACACTTGCGTGCGTACTGGAGCTGGGCGGGGCTTATGTCCGTGCCAACGACCTGGTTGAAATACGGCGCCAGGAGAACGGTGCCCTGACCCGACCCACAGCCCACGTCTATGGCTAGTTTAGCGGGCAGCGCCATCTGCAGGAGGAACAAGGGAACAGTTTGTCAATATATGATATGAACTAATACAAATTCACCACACCACTTATAATCTAATATGACCAAATCGCACCAAGTTTTGTCCATGGAACTATCTCTTGTTTCTCAAAAACAGTGATTGTTTTTGCATACTTTTTTGGATCAGCCGTTTGTCCAGGACGCTCCAAAATAGTACAATGTTCAGTTAAATCCATGTGTAAATGAGTTACCTCAAATTAGATTTTTAAATTTTTTTTTCCCCAAGTCTCACCTGGCAACACTCAGCTGTTCACTGGATCACTGGTTGAAGATGAAAATGCTAATATTTGAATTTTTAAGTCTAGTTTTAAGATACACATTTATTATCTGGCTTTTATCACTGTGCGAGTTGTTTGGTCCTCTGTGACTTTTCTTTGTTTATATCACATTTTAATACGATTTTTATTAATTTTGTAGTTTTAACCATTTTTAACTTTATGTATTTTAATGCTTTTTATGTATTGTTTTTATTGTGGATTGGAATTAAGTCAGAGTACCATAACCCATCCACCCATTTTCTTCTGCTTATCCAAGGCAGAGTTTAAGCAGGGACTCTTAGAATTTCTACTCCCCAGACACTTCCTCCAGCTCCTCCAGGGGGGCCAGGCCAGCTGAGAGACATAGTCCCTCCTGGGTCTTCCCCGGGGCCTCCATCTGGTGGGACATGAACACCACCAGAGGGAGGTTCTCAGGAGGCATCCAGAACAGATGCCTGAGCCACCTCAGCTGCTCCTCTCAACGTGGAGGAGCAGCGCCTCTACTCCGAGCTCCTCCCCTGTGACTCAGCTCCTCACCCTATCTCTAAAGGAGCGCCCAGACACCCTGCGGAGGAAACTCATTTTGACCGCTTGTATCCACAGTCTCGTCCTTTCAGTCATTACCCCAAGCTCATGACCAGACCACCACAACCAGTATTTTACTTATTATTTTTATGTAATACAAATTTATTTATTTATGCACTGGATTTTTCTTTCCTTTTTTAAAATTTCTCACACTTTTTTTGTGTGTTTTTTTTTTTTTCTTCTTCTTTGTCGTTACTCAAACAACTTAATCACTCTGTTGTTTCTATGTTTCTCCACCAGATGGAGCTATTTTTCCACATTCAGAAGATCCTGTCACAAATGTACACATTGATATGGAAAGAATGGAATGAGAACAGAGTTGGTTAAAGTGCATATACACATTTTTCATATTGTTCTAATTCAGACTTTGGTGCGATACAACCTGTGGTCAATATTTATTGTAGTTTTCGTCCATTTTTTTTTTATGACTGTTTAAACATTGTTGTAACTAAATCAAGGAGCTGTCATTTATTTCCATATGTCAAACAGTAACTTGAGCTTTGGTCCTTTTTTACACTATTGTTGCTGGGTAACAGTTAGGAAATTAAGTCTATGTTTGTTGTATCTGCTGCCTGTGTCCAAACAGAAATAAAATTATAAACTTCAAAAAAATTGACCTCCAACCTTGATTTAACCTGAAACCTTTATTGTGCATGTTTTAGTGGGAGGGGAAACAAAAAACATCCAGGCACAGAGATAACAACCCTGCACAGAAAGGCCCTCGCTGGAGTCAAACCCAGGAAAAACGTTAAAAGCATACTACAAAAAAGCAAAATGGGCTTACACAGACATAATGTGTGTTCCCTACTGTTTTTGTTTCTACAGCTGCCCAGAGAGGCCAAAAAGGAGCTTCAGAAGAATGGACCAATGAGAAAAGTCTTGAGAAATAATTCTATAGACCACATCCAAATACATTTTTTGTAAATCAACAATGTGACGGGATTTCAGCTTCACGTCTCCAGGTAGGTCCTTCTCATGTCTTTCTGTATCATTTTCCAAAATTATGCAAATTCACGTTTTCAAATTCCATGGTAAACATTCAAATATAATTTCTACTTCCAAGAAAAGTAATGTCTATTTAAACTTCATTGATGTTATAATTTTATGTTTTGGTTCTGTAGATTTAGAAAAATGGTTATCAAAGTTGGGCCCCTAAAGGTTGAGTTGAGTTTTAAATCAACTTTACAGAAGATATTTGTTTATATTTCCCATTTGTTTACATAGTTTTAACTCATCGGGATCACGAAATATTTTTTTATCTGCACGTTAAGACGCTGGTAACACAGGTTTAGTCATAATTGCAGTACCTTTTTTAAACTAAAAGTGCAGGCTACATTCAGTGCTGCACAGTTTTTGTCAACTTTACTTTGATAAATTGCGAGTTAAACCACATAAATGAAGAACTTCTCCAGCTCTGGTTTCCTCACCCTTTTCCTGAGCAGCTCCATGATGTGGCTCACCACTTCGTTGGGGGTGACTCTGTATTTGAGGTAGTCTGCAGCATGATCCTGGTCCTCGAACAGTCGCACGGCCATGTTGGTGCTGTGAGTGCCCAGTGTGACAGAGTGCACTTAAAGCAGCCGGACTCCTCCTCTAACAAACTGTGGCGAGCTCGTGCCAAATGGGGCGTGAACTAAAGTTATTCATCCACTTTCCCGAGGCCAGAACTGCAGGAGGCCCGAGGAGTTAAAGGGACAGGACAAGGAAGGAAATGGGCAAAGTACTACTCAAGAAAAAGGAAGTGCAAGAGGAACTGTAGATGTGACGCCAGATTTACAATATGAAGTTAAAGCTGCATTATGGAACTTTTCTGGTTCTGCCAAATCACTTCATATTGTCAACATAAAACTTTTGCCACTTTAGACTTACAGAAAGAAGAGGAACTAATACCTTTACTCAAGTAAAAGTACTGTTACATTTTACAATATATTACTCGAGTACTGTTATGCTGTACAATATATTAAGTAAGAGTACTGTTACACTGTACAACAATGTATTAACATGTTTCATTAGTTTCACTTTCGTTTTTGAAGCTGTGAGTCTCCCTTCCTTTTGCTCCCCGTTGTAAGTCGCCCCACTCTAGAAATATTAGAAGTGTAGATTTAGAAATGTAATATAGAAGTAAATTAGTATTGTAACTGGGTCACCTCTTTAAGCCATGGTATTTGGTAAAAAGTTGTGAAAAATGTGTACTTAAGTAAAAGTAAGTAGTAGTAGTTTTAGGTCTGTAATTCTTATGATTTTTAATGTAACATGAATATTTGGATAGTCAGTTACTTTCAACCCTGGATATGACAAAGAACGAATCGAGTTTTAGCATTATTTCAAAGTGCACTGAGATTTTCAGACAAAGTGTCTTGAAAGGACTTTGAAGTTTGGTTCGCTTCCTCATTTTCCAGGTTACTCAATAACTGCTGCTGAAAAGTTGCAGGCTCTGTCCAACCTGGAACACGCCACATTTTGTCAAAGTTCCCAAATATTCGAATATTTACATAGGTGAATTTTCTGACGCAGGATCTGCCACTTGCTCGTTTCCATGGTGATGTTCATTTCTGCATGGCATGTTCCTCAGTAGGGCTTTACATATTACATATTTGTCTTGCATTTTCTCAGTTACACGTGTCTTATATCTTAGAAATATCTTGAAAATATCTTGAAATATTGCAGGTTCGCTTCTCCGTAGATCTGAATGTTAACCCATCTCCACTGTGATTACCAAGACCCTCTATCAGAAAGTTACACAGTAAACCTTTAAATTGACTTCGTGTTTGATATCAGCCCTTTACAGTTTACATTTGTTTCAAGGTGATGCGCAAGGAGGTGAAGGGGAATAGAACCATGAACCTGATCATGTGGGGGCAGAGAGCTGTTTGAATGTAATGATTCTGAGAATGAAAAATTCTGAGAATGATAAAAAGAACTGAGTCAGAGGCAATGATTTACATCACAGTCTGTGGTTTAGTCCCTGTTTAGGCCTGGTTTAGGCCTGGTTTAGTTCTGGTTTGGTCCTGGTTTAGTCTTAGTTTAGTCCTGGTTAATCCAGGGTTAGATCTCTGGTCCTACTGTCACCTGTGGTCCCTGGTTTAGTCCTGGTTTAGTTCTGGATTAGTCTTGGTTTAGTTTTGGTTTAGTCCTGGTTTAGTCCTGGGTTAGATCTTTGCTCCTATTCTCACCTATGATCCCTGGTTTAATTCTGGTTGAATCCTTATTTAGTCTTGGTTTAGTCCTGGGTTAGGTCTCTGGTCCTATTCTCAGTCCAGTGCTGAGTCCTGGTGTAGTTCAGGTTTAGTCCTGGTGTAGTTCAGGTTTAGTCCTGGTGTAGTTCAGGTTTAGTCCTGGTGTAGTTCAGGTTTAGTCCTGGTGTAGTTCAGGTTTAGTCCTGGTTTAGATCTTTGCTCCTATTCTCACGTATAATCCCTGGTTTAATTCTGGCTGAATCCTTATTTAGTCCTGGTTTATTCTTGGTTTAGTCCTGGTTTAGTCCTGGTTTAGTCCTGGATTAGACCTGGATTAGACCTGGTTTAGTCCTGTTTTAGTCCTGGGTCAGATCTGTGGGCCCATGGTCATTTGGAGTTTTGTGTAGTGACCAAAAGAACCAGCTCTACACAATCCTGTTTTCTGTTTCTGTTTTGTCCATAAATCCGTATATGAACAATAATAACAAACCAAATGAGACGCCTTCTTTGATTGGCTCTTTGGTTGCTATGACGATTTCCAAATACAGTCCCGTGTTTCAGATTGGATCGGACTCATTTGAACTACACCTTGTTGTAGTTCCAAACTAAGTCATTTCTTTCGGGTGACTTTTCTAGAAAAAGTTACACAGTGCGTCTTTAAATAAAATTCTGTGAGGCAGTTAATTAAATGGAAAATTATTATAACATCATCTTTTATTACATCTGGAAAATTCTGATAAGTTATTACATGCACATTATATTAAGATTTTAATATAGTTTAGTGTTTTCATGTGTTTTAACTTGGTAAAGGAATGTTTGATTTCAGAGCACAAGTCTAGTTCTTCCTGTTCTACAATCAGAAACGGACAGGTCCACAGGATTGTCAAGGTTTGCATCCGACCCAGTAGAAATACTTTGTAACCAAGGTAACTTCAGTTTCAGGAGAGGATACTTGCAAAACATCCAGTAACCTACAAAAAAAGAGAAAGAGAAACACAATGGATCATATGTTAAGAGTTTGTACAGACAGGAACAAGGCCAGTCATTGCAACTTGTAGTGAATCCAGTTTTCATTTTTCCCAATTGTGACCCCTGGTGGTGGGAGTTGGTATTTTTTAAACTGTCAAGTAATCTTTTCATATGAACTTTTTTTAAGTTCCTTATATGATGCAAAATTTACTCTTTAAGCCATTTTATAATGTTGTTACCTCCACAAAAACAGACCTGGACTTGTTTTCGTTCATTCACATGTTTGAGTAATCCTGCATTATTAGGCTCTGTTTATATGATGACGATCTGAACAGAAGATGCAAAAGTGGCATTGTGTCTTCACTTTTTATTCCATATTTAGACGAGCATTTTCAGGAGGAAATATGCGTGCATACGGTGTGGAATTTGATTGTTTATGTATGTCAGGCGGCTCGGTGGTGACACTAGGTGGTGATGTATGTGACGTAAACTTGTATGAAACGTGATTAGATCTGACCAGAGTTTTGCGTCTTGGGCAGTGTAGACAGAAATGCTACGGCGAAGTGTATTCAACTTTTCCACTCTGGAGGGCAGTTTCAGATTTTGGCATTTTTAAGCCCTAAAAACACTGTCACTGACTAAACGAAAGGCACTTGTGATAAAACATTGTCGTTTTTACCCACAAGCGATCTCATGTAAACAAGCCCTTAGTCAGTCTACATCTCCAAAGCTCAAAATGAAACTGTTCCACCTTGTGATGTCACGAAGCGGTAGTATTCAAGTTAGCAGCTCCTTTTACCTTTAGTTCAGTAGAGACTGGCCATTCCAGAGCTGAAATGATTCAAGTCAATCTAGTGAACGTGCATGGACCATCAGTATCCAGGCAGACTGCGCGAGTCCACACCTACTCTGTCCAACGCACCACCGACGGCACAGAAAATGTCTTCGGCTGTTGTGGTATCTAACATAGGCACCAGCTCCAGAAACTCCTCCGTAATAGTCAATGTGTCATCAATGCCACGAAGAAATAAGGTCAGTTGAGCGACATCTGTAATATCAGTGCGCTCATCAATGGCAACAGAAAATGAGACACAAAGACTCTACTTTGCACTTCAGTTGACTGTCCAAATCCGCCTCAAAAAGCGTGTCATTTCTCAGGACACATGATTTCTGCAGCCTTCAGCATGCATGCTTTTCCAAACTCGCCCTCACAGTACGGCTTTGCTGATGATGCTATTTTGCTAGCGACATCACAAAGTGGAACAGTGTTTTCAGGTACACATCTCCAGATCTGTTTGTGATGAGGAAACAACATTATGACATAGATCAGATAATAATAGTAATATGGGCTTTTTAGTATGTAGAATGATATAAAAGTTTGTACTTGTATGTAACGTTGTCACACTTGCGTGCGTACTGGAGCTGGGCGGGGCTTATGTCCGTGCCGACGACCTGGTTGAAATACGGCGCCAGGAGAACGGTGCCCTGACCCGACCCACAGCCCACGTCTATGGCTAGTTTAGCGGGCAGCGCCATCTGCAGGAGGAACAAGGGAACAGTTTGTCAATATGATATGAACCAGTAATGCAAATTCAACATAGCTGACATTTTTTTGTTGAATGATACACCACTTATAATCTAATATGACCAACTCACACCAGATTTTGTCCATATCACTATGTCTTATTTCTCAAAATCGGTAACAGTGATCGTTTTTGCATACTTCTTTGGATCAGCCATTTGTCCTGGACGCTCCAAAATACTACAATGTTCAGTTAAATCCATGTGTAAATGAGTTACCTCAAATTAGATTTTTTTTTTTTTTTCTTCAAGGCTCACCTGGCAACACCTGACTCAGCTGTTCACTGGATCACTGACTGAAAATGAAAGAGTTAATATTTGAATTTTTAAGTCTAGTCTTAAGACACACTTTTATTCTCTGGCTTTTACCACTGCGTGAGTTGCTTGGTCCTCTGTGTCTTTTATTTATTTTTATTGCATTTTAATTAGATTTTTATTAATTTTATAATTTTAACAATTTTTAGCTTTATGTATTCTAATGCTTTTTATATCTTGTTTTTATGATTTTTTTTTTATATTTAAATTAAATATGCTCTAGAAATAAAGTGGAATGGTAGGTCCTTCTCACATCTTCCTGTATCATTCGCAACAAAACATTTCGCAATCACTTTTCCAAAATTCAGCAAATTCCTGTTTCTAAATCTCAAGGTGAACATGTTCAGATCAAATATAACTTTTACTTCTAAGAAAAGCAATGTCAATTTAAACTTCATTGGACTGGACAGCTCATTGGTGTTATAATTTTGTGTTTTGGTTCTGTAGATTTTGAACAGTGGTTACAAAAGTGGGGCCCATAAAAGTTGAGTTGAGTTTTAAATCAACTTTACATAAGATATTTGTTTATATTTGTCATTGGTTTACATCGTTTTAACTCATGAGAATCATTAAATATTCTTTTATCTGCACGTTAAGACGCTGGTCACACAGGTTTAGTCGTAATTGCAGTACCTTTGTTAAACTAAAAGTGCAGGCCACCTTCAGTGCTGCACAGTGATTGTTTACTTCGATACATTGCAAGTCTAACGACATAAATGAAGAACTTTTCCAGCTCAGTTTTCCTCACCCTTTTCCTGAGCAGCTCCATGATGTGATTCACCACTTCATTGGGGGAGACTCTGTATTTGAGGTAGTCTGCAGCATGATCCTGGTCCTCGAACAGACGCACGGCCATGTTGGTGCTGTGAGTGTCGAGTGTGACAGAGTGCACTTAAAGCAGCCAGACTCCTCTTTGTGCCAAACAGGGTGTGAATTAGTTGTTCATCCACGTTCCTGAGGCCAGAAGTGGAACCGAGTACTCAATTAACAGTACGAGCAAGTTTTATTAGTTTCACTTTCGTTTTTGACGCTGAAGTTTGGTTCGCTTCCCCGTTTTCCACTGCTGCTGAAAAGTTGCAGGCTCTGTCCAACCTGGAACACGCCACATTTTGTCAGAGTTCCCAAATATTTGAATATTTACATACGTGATTTTTTTTTGGCACAGGATTTGCCAGTTGCTCGTCTCCATGGTGATGTTCATTTCTGCATGGCATGTTCCTCAGTAGGGCTTTACATTACATATCTGTCTTGCATTTTCTCAGTTACACGTGTCTTATATCTTAGAAATATCTTGAAAATATCTTGAAATATTGCAGGTTCGCTTCTCCATAGATCTGAATGTTAACCCATCTCCACTGTGATTACCAAGACCCTCTATCAGAAAGTTACACAGTAAACCTTTAAATTGAATTCATGTTTGTTATCAGCCCTTTGCAGTTTACATTGGTTTACATTCAAGGTAATGTGCAACAAGGAGGTGAAGGGAATAGAACCGTAAACCTGATCATGTGGGGGCAGAGAGCTGTTTGAATGTAATGATTCTGAGAATGACAAAATGAGCTGAGTCAGAGGCAGTGATTTATATCAGTCTATGCCATGGTTTAGTCCTGGTTTGGTCTTTAGTTCTCAGTTAGTCCTGGTTTAGTCCTGGATTAATCCTGGTTTAGTTCTGGGTTAGTTCTGGTTTGGTCCTGGGTTAGATCTCTGGTCCTACTGTCACCTGCAGTCCCTGGGTTAGTCTTTGTTTAGTCTTTGTTTAGTCTTGGTTTAGTCTTGGTTTAGTCTTGGTTTAGGCCTAGTTTGGTCCTGGGTTAGATCTTTAGTCCTACTCTTACCCATGATTTCCAGTTTAATTTTGGTTTAGTTCTGGTTTAGTTTTGGTTTAGTCCTGGTTTAGTTCAGGTTTAGTCCTGGGTTAGATCTCTGGTCCTCCTGTCAACTATGGTCCTGATTTAGTCTTGGTTTAGTCGTGTTTTAGTCCTGGGTTAGTTCTCTGGGCCTGTTCTCACCTATGATCCCTGGGTTAGTCCTGGGTTAGACCTGGTTTAGTCCTGTTTTAGTCCTGGGTCAGATCTGTGGGCCCATGGTCATTTGGAGTTTTGCGTACTGACCAAAAGAACCAGCTCTACATTTTCATTTTTTGTTTTGCTGTTTGTCCATAAATCCGCATATGAACAATAATAACAAACCAAATGAGACGCCTTCTTTGATTGGCTCTTTGGTTGCCCCGGTTTCAGATTCGCCGCTATAACTGCTAATCGATTAGACTCATTTAAACTACACCTTGTTGTAGTTCCAGCCCAAATCAGGTCTTTTGGCTGACTTGTCTAGAAAGTTACACAGTGCATCTTTAAATAACAAAACTCTGTGAGGAAGTGAATTACATGGGGAATTATTATAACATCAGCTTTTATTACATCTAGAAAATTCTAATAAGTTATTACATACACATTATATTAAGATTTTACTGTAAGTTAGTGTTTTCATATTAACTCAATAAAGGAATGTTTGATTTCAGAGCACCAGTCTAGTTTGACAATCAGAACCAGACGGGTCCACACAATCGTCAAGGTTTGCACCCGACCCAGTAGAAATACTTGATAACCACGGTAACTTCAGTTTCAGGAGAGGATACTTGCAAAACATCCAGTAACCTACAAAAAAAGAGAAAGAGAAACACAATACTGTATGTTAAGAGTTTGTACAGACGGGAACAAGGCCAGTTAATTGTTGGTGGTGGGAGTTTTGGATTCACAGTCCACTTTAGTCAGATTGTTCAGGGCAATCTGTTTCTGTTTTTTCACGTAAGGTCTACAGCGCAGAAAGTTTACACAGTGAACTTTTAAATCATGATGAATCGAAGCCTGACAAATCTAATCTGACAAATAGAAAGAAAACAGAAAGGACACATGGTTTGACATTTTAAGACTCAAAATGTGTGTAAAGTTCTTGGCGTAAAGTTGAAACAGTCCTTCAGTGTGATAACTTACTTGTTGCGTATACGGTTGGACATTTCTTGGGCTTTTTGGGGATTCTCTTTTTTGCATTTCTGATACGAACTAAAAGTTTCCACCAAGCCGATGTAGCCGTTCACAGTGGTGGCTCTCCTCACCTCCAGAACTTCGTGCCTGTATACACAAAGTACTATCGCATATGAGAGCGTGTTTTTATGAATCGTGGACAAATGTAAGGATGGACAGACGCGTACCATTCTTTGTCCGGATGGGGCCAGAGGTTGAACATGTCTTTGTAGAGCTGCATAGAACTGGAGCCAATGTGAGGGTCTCGGTATGAGAGCAGATCGGCGTAAAACTGAGAAATAAACACAGAAATTGTTATTGTAAATGGGCAAAAAGTTCATAGAAACTGACTCAGAAATTGGCATCTTAAAATTGCTGTTGATACTTTGCAGTGATACTTTGCAGCCTGAGGAAGGATGCCCAAACCTCCCTTCAGTTTTGTACACATGTTGTTTCAATGTTGGAGTTTTTACATACTGTACATATTCATCTCTTGTTCTTTGGAGGGCATTGTAGTGAAACAGGCACTGTGACAGGACAGGACACAGGATTCTTTCTTAAGAATCAATGCATTTTCAGATCAGGGTTCATACCATTTCCACACTTCTTAGATTTAGTATCAACAGTCACTCAATCTTTCACAGAATGGCATTGGTTTGAATTTCTTATGTGAAGAAATATGTCTGTCTATTACAACACATCATGGGTTGTGAGATTGACAGGCAACTCGGTGCAGCGTCGGCAGTGATGCGGTTGCTGTATCGGACTGTTGTGGTGAAGAGGGCCAAAAGGCAAAGCCCTCGATTTACATTCCTGCCCTCACCTGTGGTCATGAGCTTTGGGTAATGACCGAAATAACAAGATTATGGATGGATGTGGCCGAAAATAGTTTCCTCAGCAGGGTGGCTGGGAGCTCCTTTAGAGATAGGGTGAGGAGCTCATTCACACGGAAGGAGCTCGGAGTAGAGCTGCTTCTCCGCTATGTCGGTAGGAGCCAGCTGAGGTGGCTCGGGCATCTGTTCCGGATGCCTCCTGGACGCCTCCCTGGAAAGATGTTCCGGGCATGTTCCACTGGAAGGAGACTCCAGGACACGGTGGAGGGATGATGTCTCTGGACTGGGAATGCCTTGGGATCCTCCTGGAGGAACTGGAAGAAGTGTCTGGGATGGAGGATGTTTGGGAGTCCTTGCTTAGACTCTTGACCCGGCCCCAGATAAGCAGAAGAAAATGGATGGATAACAAGGAAGTTCAATGTAACAATAGTTTTCTGACACATTTAGATTTTTCAAATAGCTTATTAGATTGGAAATACTTTATTATCCTGAAGGAAATTAATTATTAATAAAGTATCAGAAGCTCAGTCACACAGGAGGAGCTTGGAGTAGAGCCGCTACTCCTCCACAAGAGGTGTTCCAGGCATGTGCCATCACAATACATCTTCTTTAATGGTTTATGGATTAGCTGTTAGCTCCGTTTCAGTTCAATAATTTACTTTTTCAGATGTGAGCCAACCTAGATACTCCAGTAGTTGGGTATTGCATTGTGTTTTTGTTTGTTTACTTTTTTGGCTTCATTATACTTTGGTTTTCAGATATCAGATGCAGAAAGTAATCAACACCGTGTCCTTGATGCAGGCAGAGTTACATTTCTTAAAACTCTCACCTCCATGCAGACTGGTTTGAGTTTGTCGGTGAGGTCTCCACTCTCCAGGTGCATGTTCAGGGTGTAGGAGAGCAGAGCCACACAGCCCCCGCCCCTCAGCACACGCCCACCTCCTGCAGGAAGCGTGGCCGGTCGAACCAATGCGCAGCCGTCATGGAGGTCACCAGGTCCACTGAGCCGCTCTCAAAGGGGAGTTCCTCTGCTGGACACTGCCTGGAAAAAACAAAACAAAACATACATTTGGAAATAACATGAAAAACTGGTTGGGGTTATATTGTAGAATCAGTTAAAGGTCTTATAGTACGCAAAGTGGATTCTTGTGAGCTTTAAAGGAGCATTGTATTTTAATATCTAGAACGATATAAAAGTTGTGTACTTGTATGTAACGTTGTCACACTTGCGTGCGTACTGGAGCTGGGCGGGGCTTATGTCCGTGCCAACGACCTGGTTGAAATACGGCGCCAGGAGAACGGTGCCCTGACCCGACCCACAGCCCACGTCTACGGCTAGTTTAGCGGGCAGCGCCATCTGCAGGAGGAACAAAGGAACAGTTTGTCAATATATGATAAACTAGTAATGCAAATTCATCAAAGCCGACGTTTTTATGTTGAAAATATTCCAAATTGGGATTTTTTTTTTTCAGGCGCACCTGGCAACTCACCCCTATTTAACAGATTATTATCTGTTAAATGTCCCTACAACTATAAAACAACTCCCCCTTAGGTAACAGATAATACTCCTTACAACTGTATAACTCACTCTTATGTAACAGATAATACTCCCTACAACTATACAATTCCTCCTTATATAGAAGATAATACTCCCTACAACTGTACAACAACTCACCGTTGCATTGAATGTATTTCCATATAGATTTTTTCTCTGTATTATATATATATTATAATATATATAATATTGTGATGTGTGAGTTCCTGTGTCCAAATCATTTCCCTTGAGGATCAAGGAAGTTTGTCTAAGTCTAAGTTCTCCACCAGATGGAGCTATTTTTCAGAATAAAATTCAGAATATCATGTAACAAATGTGCACACTTGATAAGGCCATGTGCAGATTTTCATGTTGTTCTAGTTCTGACTTGGTTTGGTGGATAGTACTTGTGCTCAAGATTTATCATGTTTTTTATCAGTTTTTTCCTGACAGTTGAAACACTGATGTAACTAAATCAAGGAGCTGTCGTTTATTTCCATACGTCAAACAGTAACTTGAGCTTTGGTCCATTTTTACAATATTGCTGCCAGGAAACAGTTATAGACTTAACTCTATGTACGTCATATCTGCTGCTTGTGTCCAAGTAAAGGAAGTAAGTAGAGCAAAATGATAAACTTTATTTATAAATATGAACAAAATTACAGAGGAAATAAACATAATTTCTTGCAAAAATCTTGAATGATTTTAACTATGTTTTAGTGGAATGAGCAGTCTAAACTGTCTTATGCACTTATTTTTATTGACCTCTGACCTTTATTTAACCTTTAACCTTTACTGTGCATGTTTTAGTGGAAGTGGAAACCAAAAGCACCCAGAGGAAACCTGCACAGGCACAGAGAGAACATGCAAGACTCCACACAGAGAGGCCTACAGACCCTCCATTTACTTGGATAAATGCATTAAAATTGTGGCCTACTTCTCAGAGTAGCTCAAAGACTTTATACTTTACTCCTATTTAAGTAATATATGGTACAGTGTAAAAGTACTCTTACTTGAGTAAAAGTTTTGATTACTTTTCCTGTGGTGAGCAAGTCTAAAGTGACAAAAGCTTCATGTGACAATATGAAATGATTTGAATATTTGTGTTCACATGTGATTTAGTCATGTTTACATACTTACTTTACAAAAACAGTGGACTAAATGGGCCATTGATATTCTAATTCTGTGTTTTTGTTCCCTGGAACAGTGGGCACCAGAGTGGGGCCCTGGTATTGCAGAGGGGCCACAAGCAAGAAAACTGAGTTTTAAATTAACTTTACCTCAAATATTAGTTTATATTTATTTACATTCCCATTGGCTTCTTAATACTAATACATCCATGTTTAACTCATCTACACAGCCACACATGACTCACAGGAGTCTTTCATTTGGGTTGCTCTACAATATTACTCGAGTACTGTTATGCAGTACAATATATTACTCAAGTAAGAGTACTGTTACACTGTACAGTATTTTTTTATTATTTATTTTTCTTTTTTAGTTTTATTGTATTTAAAAGGGACAATGCATATTCATGAACATACACTTGTAAATATGACAGAATTAGCCTAAAGGTACTTTTCATCTGTAGATGAATCAGAGACAAAAGACAACGTCACACAACAGACAAACTGTCGATGACAATTCATAGGACAAACATGACAAATGGCACAATAAGACACAATCATGAAATACAACATACAACACTGACATTTACACAGAAGCAGAACATTAGTGCTCATAGATCTGGTTTGTCTTAAGTCATCGTTTCAGATGGTTTTAAATGTACTGACTGTGGAGAGTCTCTGATTACAGCTGGGATGTTGTTCCAGATTTCTGTTCTCTTGACTGAGGACACCTGCTGACTGAATGTTGTGTGTCTAGAAAGTATTACACAGTCACATCTAGTAGAAGCTCTTGTTACCACTAGTACCACTGGTTACTCAAGTAAAAGTAATGTAACACTGTACAATAATTACTCAAGTAAAAGAAATGTATTACTGTACAGTACTAAAGTCATGTTACAACTGTTACAAGTGGTTGTGTTTCAAAGTTGAAGTCCAGTGTGTTTAATCCTAAATGCATCTCTGATCTGATTGGTCAATCCCTAAACTCCTGCACCTGCAGCATCATGAGTCAGTGCTAGTGCAGCCTCTGCAGCTCAGGGAGGGAATCTGGAGGTTCTGAGGTGTTCTCTTTCTGCAGGTCACTGGTCACAGAGGTTTAATCTTAATTGCAGTACATTTGTTAAACTTCAAAGTACAGGGTACATTCAGTACCACACAGTTTTTGTCTTCTTTAGACTAGGAAATTATCAAAGTAATCACATAAATGAAGAACTTTTCCAGCTCTGGTTTCCTCACCCTTTTCCTGAGCAGCTCCATGATGTGGCTCACCACTTCGTTGGGGGTGACTCTGTATTTGAGGTAGTCTGCAGCATGATCCTGGTCCTCGAACAGTCGCACGGCCATGTTGGTGCTGTGAGTGCCCAGTGTGACAGAGTGCACTTAAAACAGCCGGACTCCTCCTCTAACAAACTGTGGCGAGCTCGTGCCAAATGGGTCGTGAACTAAAGTTATTCATCCACTTTCCCGAGGCCAAAACTGCAGGAGGCCCGAGGAGTTAAAGGGACAGGACAAGGAAGGAACTAAGCAAAGCATTTGGGAAAAGTAGTAGTCAAGAAAAAAGGAAGTGCAAGAGGAACTGTAGATGTGACGCCAGATTTACAATATGAACTTAAAGCTGCATTATGGAACTTACACTATATTACTCAAGTAAAATTACTATTACACTGTACAACAACGTATGAACATGTTTTATTAGTTTCACTTTCGTTTTTGAGCCTTCCCTCCCTTTGCTCTTCAATCTGAGTTACTCCCCCTTCTGAGTGTCATCACAAGTATTAAAATAGCCCCTCTTTAAGTTTTTAGTACAATAAATTTGAAGAATTAGAAATATAATCTAGAAGAAATTGAGTGTAATTTAGTGTAACTGGATACTAGTCACCTCTTCACTGGTGAAAAATGTGTACTCAAGTAAAAGTACATGGGTTCATTAGGATGCATCATTTGCCCCAGTGACAGAAATTCAATCTGTACCCAATTTTAAAATGCAACAATACTAATTAAAAGAAAATCTGTGGAATATTAGCTCAATTGAATAAAATCTACTAACGGTGTCCATAAGGCTCTGGCAGAAAAGTCTGTATTTCTCAAATCACTTTAAAAAAGATTTGTTTGTTTTGTTTTTGGTTGTAATAAATATATATTGTTATTATTAATTATGCACATATATAGTATTTTTTATAATATTGCTTATTTAAGGTCTTTGAAGTCCCAAAGAAATGACACTTCTGCCACATCTCAGAAACTAATGATGATGGAGACAGAAAACTGACACAAATGATCCACAATGTCCATATTTATATTCAACTTTCATTGATATTATTGGGTTAAGTTTATTATTTTTGATGTTATTAAAGAAAAACACATTTTTCAGCTTAGATTTCAGGCTTCTGTAGGCACTAAACTTCAGAGGCTTGGTGGACCCAGTAAACATCAAGAGAATTTTAAGAAATTTCTCAAGGAATTTTACTTTGAAAATCCATCTGTACCTATTATAATTTTTTTTACACTTGCCAAAAATGTTTTTTAAAAAAAAGATGCACCCTAGCGTACATAGCTAAGAAAGTAGTAGTAATATTAGGTCTGTTACTTTTATGATTTTACATATATTGTGAATATTTAGATAGTCAGTTACTTTTGACCCCTGAAATGACAAAAAAAAGAATAAAATTTGAAGCAAAAATTTGGAAATTGCAGAAAATTTTTTAAATCACATTGACATTTTCAGACAAAGTATCTTTAAAGGACTTTGAAGTTTGGTTTGCGTCCCCGTTTTCTGACTTACTTATTAATACATGCCACATTTTTGTCCAAATTCCAAAATACTTGAATATTGACGCAAAAATTTGAATCAGTTTAAAGGTGCACTATGTGACTTTTCTGGAGGAGGGTCTGCCACATGCTCGTCTCCATGGATATGTTAATTCTTTGTACGGAATTTTCCACAGTAGAGCTTTTACATTTGATATTTGTCTTGCTTTTACTTAGTTACAGCCCTTTATTCAGGTTGATTGTTTTACAGTTCACATTTGCTCACGACAGATTCAAGGTCATGTGTAACAAGGAGGTGAAGGGGAATAAAACTGTGAAGCTGGTCGTGTGGGGGCGGAGAGCTGTTTGAATGTTTAAAATTAAAAACTGATAAGATTATGAGACTGATAAAAAGAGCTGAGTCAGAGGCAATGATTTGCAATGGATTTTGATCACAGTCTAGGTTATAGTTTAGTACTAGTTTGGTCCTGGATTAGTCCTGGGGTAGATCTATGGTCCTACTCTCACCTAAGGTCCTGGTTTAGTCCTGGTTTAGTCCCTGTTTAATCATGGTTTAGATCTATTACCCTCACCTGGGTTAGAACTCTGGTCCTGCTCTCACCTATGGTCCTGATTTAGTCCTGGTTTAGTTCTGGTTTGGTCCAGGTTTTAGCCTGGGTCAGATCTTTAGTCCAACCTTCCCGATTAACCCATCATACCCCCTAAAAAGCCTCAAAAGCAAAATTTTGAGGGGGCTCAAATTTCAAAATAAAAAAAAAGTCCAGACGTCATCCCATACAGACCCAGACAGAGTCAGTCCGATGTTCCTCCAATTACAAAAGGTATAGATGTTGCCCGTTAAAACCGCGGGCCGAACTCCTAAAACAGCAGCATGTAGAACTTTGTGCACAACTCACTGCACATCAGCCCGCAGCAGAAGCTCTGAGCTCAGGAAACAGCAGCAGCCAACAGCGCTGAAGACCTGGGACACCCACTGTAGCTCACAGCCCTGCAAGACGGGGCTGGGGGTCTGGTCCTTGGTCTTGTGCTGTCCTCCATGCTCGTTGGTCAGATGATCTGGAAGTTTTGTCCTCAGTGTCCTGGTTCCAGACGGGGGGAGCAAAACCAGTGCGCAGTGGACTGGGTCCGAGTGGTTCCGTGCCATCCTCTGTGCACTCGTTCCGTGTGGCAAAAGCGAGAATGCGCTGTAGACTGCAGGCGGCTGCTCTGGTGCTCGTTGCTCGAGGACTGTGGCTGGTTCTGAGATGGTACAAAGCATTCGATCAGAAGTGTGAATCCAGTTTGGTTCATTATATGTTGTTCTGAGCGGTCCCTCCTCCGTGCACATGTTTTTTCCCGGGGAAAGTGCTTCTCAGGCCGAGGCTCCTAACAGCACTCGCCACTAATGCTCCTCTGAGCCCGGTCTGAACCAGAGCTGCTCTCACTGGGTCAGGACTCTGGTTTGGATCTAGTCTGACTCACACCAGGCTAAATGCAGTTCATTTTATAAGTTGAATCAATTTAAAAGGGCCTATTCAGTTTCGACTGTCTGTGTCATCCACTGTGGTGTCTTTTTCTTTTTTCAAATCTGTATTGCTCAACAACTCAGAGATGGGGACCCCCTCATATGTTGACAGGTGTTTCTCACACTGAGTCTGAGCGCCTCAGGAAGAGCTGGAGGAAGTGTGTGTGGAAAGGGAAGTGTGGACCTCCTGCTCAGACTGCTGACTCCACGACAGCACTGGAGAAAACGGAAGAACATGGATGGATGTTGATAAAAGACAGTGGAGCTGCAGTCAAACCTGATTTTTACTGTCCTGAAAGCAGTTTGCAGCGGTTCAAAGTTCTTCCTCACTTACCTCACGCATTCAGAGCGTCGTAATTATTCACCATGATGAGTTTACAAGCACTTCTCACAACTTTCAGACAACAGAACTGAGTTTTCGGTTGATTTTATTTCTTTTTTTCATAATTTGGATCATTTTGAGGCAGAATAACAGAATAAACATAAGACATAACTAAAGATAAAACTAACACATACAAAAAATATTATAATAATTAAAAATAAAAGTAAGGGGGGTATTTACATTTTAGGGCTGTCACATCATATTTATATTCATATATTTTCTGTTGCCTTGTATATTTAGTTTTCTGTTTTAATCTTTTAATCTTTGCCGTCATAGCAAAACTAACAACATCTAGCATGCTACTGCACACTTCCTGATTCTTGTATAATAAAACGCTTTATAAGTAGATGCACACGGTACGCAGCAGACTTATTTTGACCTCAGGAGCAGCTTATGCAATGTACTTCAAATACAAATACATGGTTAAAAATTGGGTACAGGCCCTTTAATATGAATGAATTAAAGCCCCGTTATGTAAGATTTAAAAAAAATAAATAAAACTACAATATAATCAGGTGAGTATATACATTTGTAGACTTGACTTCTCACATGGCAGTTGTCAAAATATTAATTATAAACCACCTGATTGGATTAAATCAGAATACACACACTTTACACAAATGATGTACTTACCCCAAACAGACAGCAGAGGGCGGCATATACCAGCCTGTGACTCCATGATCAAACACGACAGTCTGGAGTGTGGAGATCTGTCTGTCATTATGCTTCAGAAAATATTATCTGTCAGAAAAGATTGCAGAATATGTTGTAAAACCGTTTTCGCTTCACCGTCAAGATGCAAATAAAAAGTTCGTTCCTTCATAATATCAACAAAACATAAATGAAACAACACCAGGCAACACCAAGATCAATATTGGAATATTTTTTAATGGCATGAAATAGTCAAATGTGAATTGTCATGTTGAGATGTGGCTAAAGTAGAACTATTGGTCTAAACCTGGACTAAACCTGGTCTAAATCAGGTCCAAATCAGAGCTAAACCAAGTCTGTACCAGGTCTAGAAATAAAGCAACAAAACCAGGACTAAATCAGGAATAAACCAGGTCCAAACCAGATCTAAACCAGGACTAAACCGGGTCTAAATCGGATCTAGGAATAAAGCATCTAACCTAGGTCTAAACCAAGACTAAACCAGGACTAAACCAGGACTAAACCAGGACTAAACCAGGTCTAAACCAGGTCTAAACCAGGTCTAAACCAGGTCTAAACCAAGGTCTAAAACCAGGTCTAAACCAGGACTAAACCAGGACTAAACCAGGACTAAACTAGATCTAGGAATAAAGCATCTAACCTAGGACTAAACCAGGACTAAAACCAGATCTAAACCAGATCTAAAACCAGGACTAAACCAGGTCTAAACCAGATCTAAACCAGATCTCGGAATAAAGCGTCTAAACCAGGACTAAACCAGGTCTAAACCAGGTTTAAACCAGGACTAAACCAGGACTAAACCAGATCTAGGAATAAAGCATCTAACCTAGGACTAAACCAGGACTAAACCAGATCTAAACCAGATCTAAACCAGGACTAAACCAGGTCTAAACCAGATCTAGGAATAAAGCATCTAACCTAGGACTAAACCAGGACTAAACCAGATCTAAACCAGATCTAAACCAGGACTAAACCAGGACTAAACCAGATCTAAACCAGATCTAAACCAGATCTAAACCAGGACTAAACCAGGTCTAAACCAGATCTAAACCAGATCTAAACCAGGACTAAACCAGGTCTAAACCAGATCTCGGAATAAAGCGTCTAAACCAGGACTAAACCA